CTCAGTCTTCCCCTTGCGCACCAAGGGTGATGTCGCTGAGGTGTTGATCGACTGGATCCGCGCAGCTCGTCTCCAGCTCAGGAGGAGCTTCAGCTCGGACTTTCCTGTTCTGCGTCTGCACTCTGACCGAGGCGGAGAGTTCTCCTCTGGCCTTTTGCGAGCCTACTGCCGTGCGCGTGGCATCCGCCAGACCTTTACGCTTCCGGACTCTCCACAACAAAATGGGATTGCTGAGCGCCGCATTGGCATGGTCATGGACGTCGCTCGTACGTCCATGATGCATGCGGCTGCCCCCCATTTTCTGTGGCCGTTTGCGGTTCGGTACGCGGCGCATCAGATCAACCTTCACCCTAGGGTCTCCATATCGGAGACCTCCCCAGCTCTGCTGTGGACGGGGAAGGTAGGCGATGCGTCTGCATTCCGTGTCTGGGGATCTCGGCCATTTGTCCGCGACTTGTCTGCGCACAAGGTGTCCCCTCGTGCTGCTCCTTGTGTCTTCCTTGGCTTCCCCCCTGACGCACCAGGGTGGCAGTTCTACCACCCCTCCTCTCGTCGTGTTCTGTCCTCCCAGGACGTCATGTTTGACGAGTCGGTCCCCTACTACCGTCTCTTCCCCTACCGCACTCCTTCCCTCCCCCCGCCGCCGCACTTCCTTGTGCCAGGTCCCCCCCAGGTAGACCCCCTCCCCCCTCAGGGTCCTGCCCCTTCAGGTGTGTTCCAGGTAGACGCAGTCGAGCTGGTCGAGGTTGCTGGTGACTCTGGTACTGCTGCGGGTGCTGAGCCTGGGGGTGCTGACTCTGGGGGTGCTGCGCGAGTGGGTGCTGAGCCTGGGGTTGCTGACACTGGGGGTGCTGCGCGAGTGGGTGCTGAGCCTGGGGGTGCTGAGCCTGAGGGTGCTACGACTGGGGGTGCTGAGCGTGGGGGTCCTTCGCCTAGGGGTGATGCGTCTGGAGCTGCTGAGCCTGGGGGTGCTGCGTCTGAAGCTGCTGAGCCTGGGGGTACTGAGTCTGGAGCTGCTGAGCCTGGGGGTGCGGAGCGTGCAGCCGCTGGACCAGCTCGTGTGGCGTCTGGCGGTGCTGGGCCTGGCGGTTCTCCGGGTGCTTCGTCTCGGCGGGAGCCACTCTCTCCACAGGAGCTGCGCGAGTGGTTTGCCCGGCGCTGGAGGCGTACTTCTGGAGCTGGTGCTTCTTCGGCTGCTGAGGGTACTGGTGCCGCCGGTCTCGGAGGTGCTAGCCCTGGGAGTGCTGGAGCTGCTGAGCTTGCGAGTGCGACTAGAGTCGGAGCTGCTGAGGGTGTTGGCGCTGAGGCTACTGCTGTCAGTCCTAGCGGCGGTCCTGCTGCGGGTGCTGCTGGTGCTGCTGGAGGTACTGAAGCTGGAGGTGCTGTTGGCGCTGGTGCTGCCACTGGGGGTGCTGGTGCTGTCCCTGCTGTGTCTGGAGTCGCCGCGCGGCCTCGGCCGTACTTTGTTCCGCTACTTCAGCAGGTTCTTGGTCTTCCTCCTCCCTTAGAGTGTCCACCGCCTGTCCGGTCACAGTCACAGTTACCGCCGGCCTCCCCACTGCCTGCTCCTTCTCCCTACACTGGTCCTACTAGAGGTCTTGCTGAGCGTCGTGAGCCTGCGTCACGTCCTGCGTCGCCTGTTCGTGCTGCTCGCGCTAGTGGTCGCGGTTCGCGTCAGCGTCCTCCTTCTGTCCCTGGCACGCACCGGATGTCTCTGCGTCCGTCCACTGCTTCTCTGCGTGCCCCTTTGCCTTCTCCTCCTGAGTCCTCTCTTCCTGCCCTTACCGACCCGGAGTCGGACTTTGTTCGTGCTGCCAGTCCTACTGTCACGCGTCTCCTTGCTACTGTCGTCACTGACCCCTCTTTTGAGTCCACTGCTGCGTCTGCTCTTGTTGCTGAGCTCGTCGACTTTGCTGCTCGTTGTCGTCTAGACTACGCTGCTAGTCTCGTTGCTGAGTCTACGTCTGTCTGTCCTCCGTCCGTCGGGGGTGAGTGTGCTCTTGGCACGGACGTCCTTGAGGACAGGCAGGAGGAGTTCCAGTGTCTGGCTGCTGCTTCACCTTATCTCGTGTCCGTACTGCTTACCCCTGAGGGAGACCCGGATGCACTTGACATCCCGACTCCGCGCTCTTACGCGGAGGCCGTAGAGGGTCCCTACTCCTCTCAGTGGCAGGCAGCTTTAAATGCAGAGATGGCTTCCTGGAAGTCCACATGCACCTACGTTGACGCGGTTCCCCCACCTGGGGCGAACATCATCAGTGGCATGTGGATCTTCAGGGTGAAGCGGCCGCCGGGCTCTCCGCCTGTCTTCAAGGCGCGGTATGTGGCTCGTGGCTTCAGTCAGCGGCAGTGAGTTGACTACTTTCATACCTTCTCTCCCACCCCGAAGATGACCACTCTTCGGGTGCTGCTACACATAGCCGTTCAGCGTGACTACGAGCTTCACTCCCTTGACTTCAGCTCTACTTTCCTGCAGGGCAGCCTGTACGAGGAGATCTGGCTGCGCCGTCCACCTGGCTTCACTGGGACTTTCCCTCCTGGCACCCAGTGGAGCCTCCGACGGCCAGTCTACGATCTCCGCCAGGCACCGCGAGAGTGGCACGACACACTGAGGACTACGCTTGCGGCTCTTGGGTTTGCTCCCTCTACTGCTGACCCGTCGCTGTTTCTACGCACCGACACCTCTTTGCTGTCGTTCTACATCCTCGTGTACGTCGACGACTTGGTCTTTGCCACTGCTGACACTGCTGGACTCGTCCACGTGAAGTCCGAGCTGCAGAAGAGACACACGTGCACTGACCTGGGTGAATTGCGCAGCTACCTTGGCTTGTAGATCACCCGGGACAGAGCACGCCGCACCATTACCCTGACTCAGTCACACATGGTGCAGCAGGTCCTTCAGAGCTTCGGCTTCACGTACTCCTCGCCTCAGGCTACTCCTCTGCCTACTCGCCACTCGCTCTCAGCTCTGCCTTCGGATGAGTCCGTAGAGTCGAGTGGCCCGTACCCAGAGCTTGTTGGCTGCCTCATGTACCTGATGACCTGCACACGACCTGACCTTGCATACCCTCTTAGCATTCTTGCACGCTATGTTGCTCGTGGGAGACATAGACCAGAGCACATGGCTGCAGCGAAGAGGGTGTTGCGCTACTTGTGCAGTACATTGGGCATGGGGCTAGTGCTTGGAGGGCAGAGTCCACTGGTCCTCACTGGGCACGCGGACGCTTCTTGGGCTGACGACCAGGCTACGCAGCGGTCGTCACAGGGTTACACCTTCAGCCTTGGTTCCGGCTCTGTTTCGTGGCGGGCTACTCGATCGTCTTCTGTTCTCGGCTCCAGTTGTGAGGCCGAGATCTACGCCGGGGCCATGGCTGCACAGGAGCTTCGCTGGCTCACTTACCTACTGACCGACCTTGGAGAGCCGCCTCGTTCTCCTCCAGTCCTGTACGTAGACAACAAGGCCATGCTGGCCTTGTGTCGAGAGCAGAGTTTGGAGCACAGAACAAAGCACATTGCTCCTCGCTACTTCCTTGCTCGTGAGCTACAGCAGCGTGGTCAGTTGCGGCTTGCGTACGTGGCCTCTGAGGCCAACACTGCTGATGTTTTCACCAAGGCACTTGCGCCTTGTGATCATCAGCGCTTCTGTACTCAGCTTGGTCTTGTGCCTGTCTTGCCTCACTTGCTCACTTCTTGACCTTGCTTGTACTGTCACATATATATACTCCTGCTCTTGCTTACTTAGCCTCTTATATATATATATATATGTGCTCCTGCATGTGAACTGGCCTTCTGGCCTTGAACTTGTGCTCGGAATGTGTGGTGACTTTGTGATCCACCCTGAGCTTTGCTTTGCTTCACTTGACTGGTCTTGTGACCCCTTGTTCTCCCCCACTTTGCCTTTGGGGGTGTGTCAAATTATAATGTTGTCTAGGCTTTAGTGGGGTAGCCCATATGGGGTACACATTTCTAGGGTTGCATATTTGTATCACTCTCAGTCCATAGTCATTCCATCCTCGTTCTAATTTCCTGAGTCGAGGGAGTTAAGCACGAAGGGGATCCTGGAGGCAAGATCAACTGGGAGGTAAACGGCAAGCAGGGTGAGTTGGATGCCGTGATTGTTGACATCCGTGTGTATGATTCTACCTTATGAGTGAGTTGAATTGGAGAAGCTTAAGGATGGGTATCTACAACGGATGGCAAAGCCTCTGAATTTTGCCCTTGGGGTGGTTGCTACTAGTGTCATGAATCTCGATGAGAACCAGTATGGGTGAGTGTCATCTATTCTAGTGTTTGATAAAACTACGATGCCTGTCGCATCCTTTAATTAGTCTGTAACCATGTCTTCCTTTGCACAATACCCTAAGTCATTGACATTGAAACTTGCGCATGTGAGAAGGTTTCTCTTGTTTATAATTTAACCACTGACTAACACCCCCTTTGCATCTACAGGCTGAGAGAAGAAACGATGCGAACTACATTGACTACCAAACAACATCCTGCCACCACTGCGAGGGTACTAGTCAGATCCCTAAGTCTTTCTTCACCAGTGCAAGGTTCGTCTTCTCTAGTGAGCTTTTGGTGGTTGATCCCACGTTTTCCAGGTGGATGAGATAACAGTGGAGGCGACGTGATCAGAGCTTTTGTTAGGTCTTGCAGGAGCGGGAGGACTAGCGGGCTGGCTAGCAGGGACGCAGCTGTGAGTATCAATCAACACGCCAGTAAGCGAAAAAAGAGGTTAGAGCGAAACTATAAGAAGCTGATGCAAATGGGTATTATCATTAAGCCTGTGGACCTTCCTTAGGGTGAGCTTCTATTTCCCTACGTTATTTTTACATTTAGTGATGAAAGCATCATGATACTTATCATAATGCTAACCACCGGAGAGTGTGCAAGATAGCGCAGGGTAATGGACCAAGATCTTCTTCGCGCGGTCGGCCAGATCGGGGATCACATGCAGCCAGCAGTGCTTGTCACCAGGGTGAGCGTAGACCTGACCCTTAATGACGTCGGTGTCAGCACTGGTTGCGGGGTGCAGCACGCGATGGAATCAGGAACAACGCAAGAAGGCCAGTTTCTGGCAGCTTGTCAGTGGGTACACCGCCATCCTTTCAGTAAGCATGTCCAGCGCCACAGTTGCAGAAACTCCTTTGAAAATGACTTCAACGGCGTGAGGGAGCAGAGTCTTCCATGTGCTGCTAGTGGAGCTTCACCATGTTGCCATTCAGTCGCTGATAAACAACCTCCTTGCTTTTCACCCATTCTGCATCAGATTATATGATGAAGTAAATCTGGAAATGGCAGTAACGGGTCTTGGCGATATACGTCGGCTGCAACTCCTGGAACTTCGCCGACATTAACACTTCAGCTGATAACTTTGCATTCCACCCCTACTTCATCAAAATTTTGACAGCATCAATGATACTGGCAACCTCTTGAGCAAGAACAAACGGAATGAGCAGAATGTCTATACTACGCAGCCTGGATACTGCCTCCATGTCCAGATCCATTTCCATCTCATCGTCGGAGTCTTCAATGAAGCCATCGTCATCAACTGGCTTATCCGCCACTGACAAGCCAGAGCTTCCCTCAAAGCCTTGTCCTTGCTGAAAGGTATGTTAACACCATTGCTCCCTGATGCTTTATCCCCAACAAGAACTTCCAGAGGAGTAGTGTCCCCATTGACCACTAGGAGTTCACCACCTGGCTTGGAGCGCGGGCCCTTAGGATACGTCCTTGTGCGATGATGAAATTCAGGCAGAGTAATGACGTGCTGAGCGCATAAACCAGCTTGTGATGCTTGAGTTGCCTGACTTAGCACTCCCTTGTTAAATACAATGCTGTTATTGACAGGATCGATTCGCTCTTGGTGTTGCATTCTCGAGGAGTAAACCTTGGGAGCTTGTCTTCTAATAGTCTTAATAAATGCATTTTAGTCTGTTGTTGTAAAAGCCGGTGCTTCACGCTAACGAGCCTTAAACTCCCATCATCTTAGGAATGCTTGACAAACACAGTGGTTTGGTCGCCTGGTAACACAATGAGCCAATGTCAGCAAAAATGATAGGTCTTTTGGTCCTCCTTCCTGCCCTATATTCCCCTCTCATTCCCTCTCTTCTACTTTCATCCTCTCATCCCCTCTCCAGCCCTCTATTCCCCTCTCATCCCCTCTCATGCCCTCTCAGCTCTCTCATCCTATCTCGTCCCGGGTCATGCACTCTATTCGTCTCTCGTTCCCTCTCATCCTCTTCCATCCTCTCCCATCCACCCTCCACGCCCTATTCCAGTCCCAATCCCTCTCCTCCACTTCCATCCTCTCTCATCCCCTCTACTTCCCTCTATTCCCCTCTCGTTCACTCTCATCCTCTCTCATCTGCTCTCGTCCCCTCTCCACGCCCCATTCCTCTCTCATTCCTCCTCTTCCCCTTCCATGCTTTTTCATCCACTCTCCTGGCCTTTATTCCTCGTCTTTCAGCCCTTTAAAGGCTCATTCTTCCCCTGTCATCCCTCTCCTGCCTTCTATTCCCCCCCCATACCGTCTCCTATCCTTTCAGCCCCTTTAATCCCCTTTCATCCCCAGTCATCCTTCTCGTCCCCTCTCGTCCTCTCCCATTCAGGGTTCTGCCCTCATTCCACTCTCCACATACATCCTCTTTCATCCTCTCTCGACCGTACTCATCCCCTTTCCTCCTTTCCCGTACCCTCAAATGCCTTCTATCCCCCTTTCATTCCCTCTCATCCCCTCTCGTCCTCTCTCGCCCCCTCTCCAAGCCCTCTCCTCTCAGTCCCTCTCGTCCTCTCTCGTACACTCTCCTGCCCTCTGATCCACACACTATCCCTCTCATCATCTATCATCCCCTCTCACCCCCTTCCACTCCCCTCATTTTCACTTGCTTCACTTCTTATTCCTTTTCATCCTTTCTCTTCCACTCTCCTGCCATATATGCCCCTCACTTTCCTGCTCACTTCCCTTTCCTCCCCTTTCATTCCCTTCCACCCCCGCTCATCCACTCGCCTGTCACTCACTTTCATCATTTTTTGTACCGTCCCCTGCTTTCTATTCCCCTCTCATTTGTTGGAAACATATAGTTCGCACTTCTAATGTGTCAAGCACTACAACGAAAGCAAAGTGAACTAAAGCGAAGCAACAGCGAGTCAACCAAAGCGGTTGACAGAGAGACAACAGCAAGAGGTTGAGTGAAGGTCAAAGGTCGGCGACCTTTGACTCGCCGAAGGCAGCGCGACAGCAAGGACACATAACTGACTCGATATTGAGCAGTTGCCCGAGTCGTCGCTGTGTCGAACCGCAACAGCAGTTACAGTTAGTTAAAACCTTTCGTATTCCTTGTAATAATATAAAAACTTGTATCTCTTTGTTATTATCAACTTATCTTGTTCTCACATACCAGTGCAAGGTGGTTCAATCAAGTTCACTAATACACTTCCGCTAATACATCACTACACTGAGTCTTTAGACTTGAAAACGATCCTAAGGGCTTTTCTCAGCCCAACATCATTCTCTCTTATCCCCCTTCATCCTCTCTCATTCCCCTCTCCTGGCCTCCCCTCTCATTCCCTCCTATCCTCATTCATCCATGCCCTCTCATTCCCTCTCATCTTCATGCATCCCCTCTCCTGACCTCTATTTCCCTCTCTCTTATCCCTTTTCTTCCTCTCTCATTCTGTCAGAAAACTCGATATAGTGACTGTACGGGTTACTTTTTTTACCAGAATCATTATCGAGTCCCATGTTTCTTACTAATGGCATATTTTCCCCGAATCTCAACCCCACAGCACAAAAAGATGTGATTAAAAAGCAATATGCATTACACATTACTACACACAGGAAAATACTAATTTCTTCTACCGTAAATGCCACCACCATCCACTCTCAAGCACTCAAGAAAAGGAAAACTTGAGCACAGATTTTTAGGCAGCGTCTTCAGCTTGGTGCAATTCATGAGGTCCAGCTGAGTTATCGATGTGAACCTCCAAATGAAACGCGACAGACACGTTAAATCTTCTGCGCAGATCTGCAGCCTTCGGAGGTTGGGGGGGCACGACACGGTTCCGTCAATCATCCCAGCATAGCTGTTGAAAATGCCATTGAAGCGGAGGGTGTGCAGCGAGAGAAACTGCGAGAGGGAAGAGAGAGAAGCTCCCGAGTTGATGTACATGCCAATAACCAGCACTTCAAGCTTGGGCAGAACGGGAAGAGGGGAGGAGCAAGGAAGCGAGTCCGAATACAAGACCTGGAGGTTCGGAAAATGCAGCAGCAGCTGGTGTCGGAAATTCCTTACGAGTGACTCCATCCGTGCCAGCTTCCCCAGGGGTTTCTTCAGGTGTTCTCCATGCCATGTTTGCACATCCCTCACCTCCAGAAGCACCAAATTAGGAAAAAAACGGGCGTTACCACCATCCCCAGGAGCAGAACCCCTCCCGGCACTTATGTTAACACCAGAGAGCTTAAGCACCCTGAGGTTGGCGGATGTTATAGAAGAGATGTCCAGGCGGACGGTTTGGGGGAGGAAGGAGGGAGCGACAGTTGGCGAGGGGGTGACAGAGAGGACTGTGAGGGAGGAGGGCAGGGAGGCGTCGCTTTGCATTGCTGCTACCAGCAAGTCTCCATCCACCTCCAGTTCCGCAATCCGTCTCCCCTTGTCCGCCCCCTCACTTGCCTCCTCATCTGCTGCAAGGGCAGCAGGGGCAGCATGGACAGCAGTCGCAGCAGGAGCAGCAGCAAGAGCAGCAGCAGGAGTAGCAGGATGGGCAGGATGAGCAGTAGGGCCAATGAGCTGGTGTGCTTTCAGCACTGCCACTGTGCCTCGAGACATGCGTAGCTGCTCCAGCTGCTGGGTACTGTTCATCTGCTCGCCCCCCTGCTGTCCCCGCTGCAGCAGCAGCTGCTGCTGTTGCCCCTCCTGCTGCTGTTGCTCTACCCCAATCCTCCCAGCCTCGGGGTGGTTTCCACCAAGAGCCGCCATCATCAGTCCCGGTATCGGGTGACCCAGCAGCTGCAGACAGGACAAAAGCCGCAATCCGGATACGCCTGCCACGTAAGCATGCCTCTGCACGCCCGGGTGGAACGCCGGGTTGCGGATGGAGAGTGAGCGGAGAGCAGTTAGTTCCCATAACGAGAGTGGCAGGTGTGCCATAAACGGGAGGGTGAGAGAGAGCGAGGTGAGGGACTCTTGAAGCCCGGAAAACATATTAATTTAGAGCCTCGGGACTGGGTAGGCTTTCGACCAATCAGGACCCAGCTGTAGCTCCAGATGTAGCTCCAGAGGTGACTGAATGGGGCGGAGGAGCAGGTGACGGTGCAAGAAGGATTTGACACGTGGAGGGTGAGGGAGTCCACCGACAGCGACGTGGTGGAAGTGCCAATCACAAAGCCTCAAGTGCGACGCTCAGGTCGAGTTCGACGGCCACCAGAGTGGCTGAGCTTCCACGCCTGCGCACCAGAGCCTTCACCATGGTGTACGACGAGGTCGACGACAACCTGTTGTACGACGACGTCGAGGAGGATGAAGACCTGCCGGAGTTCGACCCCGACGTGCATCCGACCCTAAACACCGCTGGGACATCGCCACGATGACGGTGAAGGAGGCGTTGTCGAGGCCGAAGGGCGTTAGAAACGGGACGGAGGGGAGGAGGGAGGGAGGGATGGTTTTGAGTGAGAGTGAGAGGTGGGAGAGGTGGGTGAAGAGAGGTATGATGGTCAGAGGGAGGAGAATGGTGTTCGAGGAGGGGTTGTGAAAAGGCGGGAGGTCGGGGGATGGGAAGAAGTCGGGACAAGGGAAGGAGGAGGAGGAGGATGAGGTGGAGGAGGAAGAGGAGGAAGAGGAGGAGGAGGAGGAGGAGGAGGAGGAGGTGGAGCCAAGGAGGTGGAGGGAAGTGAGGTGTGAGCATCGTTGGAGCAGCAACATGAGTCCGTGAACTGAATCTGGATGGGATTCTGGGTTTTGGGTGTTGCCACCCACACCAGCGCTCTCCGAGTCCCCAGTGTTGTCAGATGGATTCTGATTGGTGCCGGTGGTGACATGGAAGATTCGGTCTCTGTGATTGGAGGAGAGAGTGAATGTATCGGGGGGTTGGGAGCTTGTGCGTGCGACACGTAACAGGAGCTGTCGGACCATTTTACCGCCTTCCACCTGCCGGCCCAGCTGGATGTGACAATGGCGAAGGGACGGGCAGCAACGAGCAACCAGGCCGCAGACGGCATCAATATAGTCACATCCGGTGTCAGTGACCTCTCCCTGGGAGGAGTCGGCCCCGAGATGGGGCAGAAACGGGAGGTGGAGGGATGTGAGCTCTGGGAAGCTTCGCAGCATTGAAGCAACACGGTGCAGGGACCAAGATCTGGTACTCGGAGGTGTATGGAGTCGGAGCACGTCTTGTAACGAGGATAACGCCAAGGAGCATGAATCTACATCGCCAAAATGTTCTTTCGTGAATCTGTCCTAGAAGTTACTTTTGGGATTGACACTTTCTCACTATCCCAAAATTGTCCTAGAAGATTCTTTTGGGACAAAAATGTGACCCAAACGTGACCCAGTCTTATCCCAGAAGACACTTTTGGGATGGTTGGATAGTGTTGGTCCCAAAAGAAACTTTGAGGACAGAAACATTTTGGCGATGTAACGAATCCAATATGCCGCCAGACGCTTCGAGTGAAGGCAGAAAAGCTAATGCTTCGTTATAAGGAGCCAACGAGTTGTCAGCTCTAGCCAGTTTGAATGATGAAAGTGACGTTTGAAGCTCTTTGAAGCCACAGCGAGCGTCCCAATCATCCAGAGACGAATCAAAACAGCCCTCTGCTGCAGCAAAACCAGTGAGATTCAGCCGCGAATTCATTGAATTTGGAGGAACGATCCGGAATTGGCCGACGGGAAGCTGACTGAACAGAGCCTGCCGGAGCAACGGCTCCCATTCAAGCGAAAGCGGGTTTGGCGCGAGTGACACGTGGCCGACTGACGGGCGAACCACGACCCTCTAGCAGTGCCACCACGATTGACACGTGGCGACTGCTCGTGCCACGTGGGCGGCGTTCATTAGAAGGCAGAAGATTCGCGCGAGGCAGTCGATAGGGAGGGCTTGAGCGCCGGACGCGCGCTGAACCTGAACAGCAGTCGCTGCTGGGGGTCGCTCGCAACGCGCGAGGCAATGGCTCGGAAGGGCCTGAGCGCCGCCAGAAGGTCGGGCTTGAACAGCAGACGCCGCTTGCGGTCGTTCTTCTTCCGTAATACCGTCGCGGCTTGATAGCAGCGGCGATTTCACTTGAACAGCAGTCGCCGCTGGCGGTTCTCGTCGCGAAAAAGGCCTTGCCAGAAAGCTACGGGAAAGTTGCAAAAAGGATACTTTTTGGATACCTTGGTTTTGCAACTTTCCAGTTATGGTCAAATGTTGCAGAAATCGGGATTGCGAATCAGTTGCAAAAAAAGTTGCAAAACCGCAACACTTCCGCAACTCTCTTGCAACAATCCTGCACACATGCAGCCACCATTCCGCAACATTCTGCCCAACTTCAGGTCACTAATAGCTTGCCGTGCAGTTGCGTGCATGTTGCCGAAAGATCACCCCCATGTTGCCACGCGCTCCGTTACAACGCGACGCCACCGTGGCAACGAGAACCGTACTCGGATCTGATCCCGTACGGTATTGGCCATGAAACGTACATCAATCAGGCTCCATCATGTGTGTGCTATCTACTGGCACACGGCATGGTAACTCCGCTTTGTCCACCACTGTACTGCATACGCGGACACCTTCGTGCACCACTAGCGCGCATTCGCGAACCTGACAACGCCCAAACCCTGCACGACATCGAACACTACCGCGTGCACGACGGAGCACACTGTTAGGGCCGCTGGTTCCGCACACCACCGCCACGCCCAATCAAGGCGCGCTAGAGCGTAACGCTGAGACATCCAATGATGCCGGGATTGGCTCCAATCGCCGTCGCCCGCGTATTTCGCCCCACCGCATCCCCGCCGTTTTCCGCACACTCCTCACACGCCACCCAATCAGCGCGCACTCCGAACACAGCCGGATACTTCGCCGCACAGTTACCCATACCTTGTACACTCAATCTGCCACGTTGCACACACGCGTCACGCCATCATCCTGGCTTCATCTCAACTAGAACGCGGTATATGCGGTGTCAACACCGACCGTCAATCCCATCGCGGCGCGCCGCGGTACCACCACCCGATCGCGACACGGTTAGGTATCCGTTTACTCCCGAAATGTACGCGTTATTGCGAGCTCAGCGCGCTGCGTCCGCGCATATGGCACACCACGTTACGCAACACAAATATGCCCACTTACAAGTGCTTTATTCACTGTCGCAACACACCAGGATATCGCACACAACAAACCCAGCATGCTACACAACACACCATCGCCAATGATGTCCCTACACTACCGCCAAACGCCTTCTTACTACATCCCCACCTCGTCGGACGCTAACCCCTCACACATTCCCACACACATCCATGAAACTCTAAGAGCGGAACAGGCAACGGCAGCAAATGTCCTTGTAAATGTAGGGACGCCTCACTAAACCCTAGACTAACTTCAGTCACTACCGCGAGAAACCGAACCACCTTCCTCCACAACTGGCGCCCTCTGCGCATACCGGCCTGGAATCAAGTGCTCTAGCCCACACGAGGACAGCATCAGCCCGTGCTCCCCCCAGACCCACGCCTCGGCATCAGCATCGTACTTGGGCTTGAAGTCTTGGATCGCCTGTGCCACTGCCCTCTCGGCAACCTGGTGGAGCCCGTTCACCACCTCCGCGTTGCCACCAGCAGAGTTTGACAGGCGGGCCTTGCGCTTGTCTCAGTTAAGAACCGTGTCTGTAACCTGCGTGTAACAACAAACATTTCACACACACACATCAGTCCCGCGCACGGGTGGGCTGAACGGGGATTGAGATGCAACTCACCACATGCTCGAGCCACGCCATCTGGTACAGTTTCACTGTCACCGCTCCCGTGACCTTCTTGGGCTGGAAGGCGGTCACGGCACACGCCGTCAACGCTCCCGACGCAAAGGTCATTCTAGTCTTGCTCTCGCTCCAGGTTGACAACGTCAGATCGTCTGCCCACACATATGTGCAACGTAACTCGTCGCCATCTGAGCTACACACATCATCCCTGGATGGTGACATCCCGCCGCGTACCGTTCACGTCACCGAGAAGGCGATACCGAAGCCGAACATCTGCCGCCTCTCTGAGCTTCTTGCGTGCCCAAGGGCTTTTCCTGTCTCGCTCGTTGCGCCATAGGCCAATGCACGGCAGCGCAATGTCTCGAACGCGACCCGTCACCTCTGTCTTCCACTGGCTGAGTGCCTTGTTCAGGTCAGCGCATCGCGCCTTGTCGGCCGCCAGTGCGAGCCCCGCATAATTCATCGTCAATCGTGGTGTGACCCAGCATAATCCGAGCGTCTTGTCGTGGCTTCTTGGGTAAAAGGTCATGACATCATTGGCCCGCTCGATGAACATGTACTCCCGCACATGGTCGCAGGTTTTCTGCCATGTCCACGGCATACAACACACCATGGTTACCCACAGTTCAAGAACGCACAAACAGCAGCGTGGGAGACATTAGACCACCCGTAATGCAAAACCATGAGTATGTGTCACCATATCATTCCACACTCACCTTCCACGCTTTTCCGGACGGCATGAAATCAAATGCCTCCTGCAGTATGGGTGAGCTCGACACTGTCATGTGGCGCCGCCGGACCACACGGCGTGCCCTCACTGGCTCCACTTCCGCATCATCTTTCTTGCCCTCCTCCGATGTCGCGTCCTCTGAGCCCGATTCGCGCCGCCTGCGCTTGCTCGGCCGCGCATCTCCGTGCGCCCGTTCCCCCCTTGGGCCCCGCGGCCTCTTGTTCTGCGTTTTTGGATCGTTGGCGACCAGCAGCAGTGCCTCCAGGCGTGCAATCCGACGCTCACCGTCGTCTCTCACTGTCTTCAGCGCCTCGAGCTCGGCACGGCTAATCACGAAGACGTCATCGGCAACCGCCTCCTCCCGACGAGATCCACTTGCCGGCTGCGCAGATCCGCACGACATCGCCGCAAAAGGGTTGTCAGGCACCGGTTTAGGCGGAGCCGTCGCAGCCTTTCCTTTTGCCGCGCTAGTCTCTTTGGCCATAACGGAAGCAACAGCCTTGGATATGACAGGCGCAGCCTCCCCTTCGCCATCGCTACCCACCTCCTCATTGCCCGCACCGACGCTAGACGCGACCCCCGCATTCGGCGAGACTTGCGATGCACCCTGGGCCGCACTAGCCACACCTGAGCGCAAGGTGACACCAACATCTGCGAGTCAGACCAGAGAACACGGAAACTCCGTTATGGTGAACATGCGCCGTAAGCAGTGCGGCAAACGCAACGTGACACAACTGAATCCCCACCCGTTGTACCTTCTACTGGGACACACTTCTGCTTTCCAACCCTCGGACGCTTGTACTACCCCGCGTTGCCCCGCACACATTTGACTTCACGTGACCGTTTATCGGTCAACTGATACTCATTTCGCAGATACTCAGGTGGTCGTTTGGGCCTATGCGACCGGCCTGCAGGCAATTCCTCCAAGGTCCCCAAAGAAGTCTCCATTCCCGAAAGTCAAACCGAAACAACTTCTGCTACCGCACACCATGTAGTGAAAGTATGCGCATTCCGGCTGCAAGCCCAGTGGAGAGCCCGTATGCGCACAGGATGTAACGTCTCAATCGCCAACGGCCGTGCGCAGGTCCGCAATCTCGTCAGCCAATCATAGTCGGTATACTGTTGCATCACCGATCTCAGGACACGCATGAGCCACTCATTGTATCCTTCGCGATCCTACCCCTCCACATCACCCATCCAACTGCCTATGTAAATATGGTTGTCACACAAGCTTGGAGCCGATTGTATTTGTTACACAAACTACATGTACACAACGCTCAAAACGACTATATCATGCATTGATACTAGGTAGGTATCACCTTATCCGGCTACAACAAGGAAACAAATTCACTGCACCATCACTCCATCGTCACCACCTCTGGGTCTTCGTCGAACAACGCCCCCTCAAATGCATCTCGCAGAGCCACCCCCATCCTAAGGGCGCGGAAAATCGCCAGGAAACTCAATTCGATCAGGGTGGCCGAATTGAGCGAACCCTTTCACGAGCTTCACTGACGGTTCCGCAACCAAACAAATTTGCATGGTCAAATTGTGCGAAGCTCGTTAACTGGTTACTTTCGCAACGGCCACCCCGGCCGAAAGGGTTTTCTGGCGATTTTCCACGCCCTAATCCCCTGGTCCGCCACACCTCCCATCGCTGCAGCAGCGTCCTCATTGAGTTCATGAGGTGTGCCCTGCCCGGCCGTTCCCTCTGCGTCGCCCAACCCTTCCCCCTCCAACTCAATCTCCTCATCCCCTTCCTCCACGGCACATCCGGCTGCATCCCCCGCGTCATCATCTTGCGAGTCGGAGTGCTCCTCACCGTCCCCCGCTGTCTCCTCCTCCGGGCATTCCACTAGTGTCGTCTCCCACTCCGTCCATCGGAACCACTGACGGCCTCTAACCAGCCGCTTGACAGCTGACAGCGTGCACCCCTCCAGCATACCCTTCTCCTCATCCGTCAGCTCCACTGTGCCTAACACGCACTTACCATCTTTGACCACGTGCACCGCTGCTGCATACGCCGTTGCAGCCTCCAGCTCCTTATTGTACGCACCCAGCCTCATCTGCGTCCGCTTCTTCTTATTCTTCTCCCGGAACAGAATCTTGGCGCTCCACCTACCGCGCTTCTCCTTACGCACACCCTTGTACTGTAAACTATGACCCTGTCCCTTACCCTTGCTCTTGCAAGCAGGAGCGCCGCCCTCAGCATCGGCCCGTGACGCCTGCGGGTCGTCTCGTTTCCTCTTCGCCGGCATAGCCAGCACCACGGGCCTTGCTCCATCTGCATGAACCACCGCCGGCTCTGCCTGGTGCGTGGCGAGCATACTTCCTGCTGTGTCGTTTATCGACCACCTCGGAGCGGCAGGCACGGGTAGCGCGCAGGGACTGGGATGAAACACCCGTAGCTCGACTGTGCCACTGCCTGCACCGTCCAGTGCTACACTCGCAGCAGATCCGCCTTTGGAACCGAGGCTGACGGTAGCGCAAGGCCGCGCTCCTGCACGGGGGTTGGGGGTGGAGGGTGCAGTGGACCGGTTGCCACCAGGTGTCGCCGCGCCCCCTTCAGAACCTTGCTTCTACAAGACGTGGGCAGCTCCTGCAAGGAGCTGATCGACACTGTAACCCATCGCCACTTCGACGGCGGTGTCTGCTGCTTTCCAGATCGCAAGATCCCTCTTCATGCCGTAGTGCTCCACCTGCATCCGTGTCAGCTTTGTGTTGTGGTCCTTCGCTCCAGAATCCACGACGGCTCCATGCTTAGTGACCCTAGCCGCGGGTTCCTTAGGTACGACCACACCCAGCTTCATCAGTGCCGGTATAAGGTCAGAAGCCGCATGCATGCATAGGTCGCCCCGCATGCCGCGCCGGAACTCCGTCGCACTGATGCCCTCCAGGTACAGGTACGAGCGCAGGGTCTTGAAATCAGTATCCACAAGGAATTTCATGAAGTGGCACACAAAAATGCCACAGTCGTGCTGGTTATCCTGCTGCTGCACCTTATGTTTCTGCACGCACGTTAGAGGCCACAACAGGCGGTTATCACACGCTGACATAGGGTGTTAACAGGTCTCAGTTTGGGGAGCAGGACCCACCTTCATGGGAAGCGGCGTCGCATCTCTCAGTGTGTTCACAAGAGTCGTTGCGTCACACTCGGGGTGGAGGGCCTTGGCAGTGAGTTCCAATAACCTGGAAAGCAAGAAATTCGGACATGAGTCAGACATTCTCGTCGTGTATTGTCGAATTCACTAACACGGCCACAAAAGCAGGCAACAGCTAACCGTTTAACGCCATCAAACACAGTAGGGTCGTCACGGTGCGTGCCATAACTGTCGAGTAGAATCAGTTCCAGAGGTCCAGTCATTTCCTCAGACGTGCCTCCCAGCAGTCGCTTAGGGCACGGAACTATCATAAGCGAGTAGTGTGAGCTGCAACATATCGCATAAAACAGACACGACCGTCATATTATTGCAGCGACTCGACGAACGTAAAGGAAAAAACAAAGCGTTCAATCAACAGCACGCACCTCTTGAAGACGGGGATGGCCAAGAAGTCTACATCAAAAACTCTGGACGCGTTGCCGATAGAGTATGGCTTGCCGAACGTGTTCACGTAGGTGAAAGCCTTACTGTCGACCGCGGCCCATGAAGTGTCGTTGGGCGTAGTGGGTTGACGAATGCTCAGCAGCCTGCGCGCAGTCAGGCGATTGTCCAGTCAGGGAACGGGCGACACTAACGGACACAAGGCAGGCCATGACACATCGCCAGCAAAAAACGGTATAAATCGCTCACACGTTGTGGAAGTCCACGATCGCGTCGGTGACACACTGCCCGTCAGCGATGGTGATGATATCGGGCGCCTCCACGACACAACCAACGCCATCCGCCTTGAACAGCGTCATTTGATCCATCTTCTCTGGTTGCTTGGCAATCCGTAAGCGATAGACAAGATCGTGCGGCTCAGGAAGTTCCGTCTCCGTCTCCAACCTCGTCTGGTACTGCTGGGCTAGGAGATCGCCACTGTCCGATTCGATGCCTTCTTTAAGGGCTGTGTTTCCGTTGGTCAATTGTCTCCTTCCGCTACGGAGGCAGCGCGCAATAGTACTGACCTCCGCCACCTCTCCGTCGCCCCCATTGTTGCCCCCCTTAGCACCGCGCGTGGACCTGCCCTTGGAAGCACACTGCTTGTCGCGGGCGCGCCCAAGAGGAGACATCTCTACGAAGGAGGGTCAAGCTAAAAGAAAAGTGTGCAACGGTAATGAGGGAGTATGCTAGAGTGTCCGTCATATGAAAAAGAGGTTGATACAACCTCACACTCCAGCGGCCTTTTCAGTGCATCGAGGGTAAGAAGGGCGTTGATGACGATGTGTGGATCTGAACTAGTTTTGGCGCGAACTCGTAAACGCATGCCATTTGTTGCGCCACCATGACATGCATAAATTCTGGCATTCACTTCGTGTATTCGTTATGAACTCGGCCTCTTGACACACAGTGCATTAAGTGCGTGTACTGTGCTTACGTGCTTCATAGCGAGAGTCATTGACCCGCATGGGATCCGATAAGCACAGCCGACCTAGCCGACCGGTGTACTCGATGGTTTCATCATATGACTCGCATATGTCAGACATGCTGACCTGTATACAAACAGGTCATGCGTTTATAACGTGCACACCGTAAGTGCGAATTTCCTTCGCGCAAAGGTATACAAACTCCAATGACCCAACATTAGGGTTTGCGGTGGTATCATGGGTGGCAACGTGTGCCGGGGGTGCAGGAAACCGTTTCGAGACGACAACAGGCTGCAGTCCCACTTGGCTAGAAGCGCGGGCAGGGAGGCGATTCTCGGTCGTGGTAGAGTCCTCCTCGCAGAGGCATATCTGGAGGCCCGTCAGGCGTTTTTGCACATCCCTGCCCGTACACCCGCCGCCACCGCCGCCAGGGCCGGCACCAGCGAGAGGACGGCAAAGAAGAGACCTGTGTCAAACATTATATATGTTGTGTTAGTTTAGGCTACAGTGGGTTAGCCTATAGGGGGTACACAATTCTAGGGTTAGTTTTGACCTATTTGTACCCAACTGCCATTCCTGTTTCGTACTTCTGACATGGTTTCAGAGCAGGTCCTTTGCTAGGACCGAATTTTTTTTAACTACCTACCTAACTACCTGCGCCTAGAGCGCCTCGTTCTTAAGGCCCCCTGAGGCCCTCGCGCTAGCCCCTTAAGGCCCCTCACGGCCTCGTGCGTCGCCCCCTAGCGACCTCTTCGGCCCCGCGCTCACCTCCCTAGAGGCCCCGTCGGCCCCACGCTAGCCTCTCACGGCCCCCTTCAGGCCCCGCGCTAGCCCCTTAAGGCCCCGCGCGGCCCCGCGCTAGCCTCTCACGGCCCCTTAAGGCCCTGCGCTAGCCCCTTAAGGCCCCCTGTCGGCCCCGCGCTAGCCTCTCACGGCCCCCGAACGGCCCCGCGCTAGCCCCGAACGGCCCCGTGCGGCCCCGCGCTAGCCTCTCACGGCCCCTTCAGGCCCCGCGCTAGCCCCTTAAGGCCCCCGTCGGCCCCGAGCCAGCCTCTCACAGCGCGACCCGGGCGAACCGCGCGACCCGAGCCGAGCCGCGCGACCCGAACCGAGCCGCGCCGCCCTACCAGCCGAGCCGCACCATCCAGCCGAGCCGCGACCCGAGCTGCACCGAGCCGCGCCGCCCTGCCCTATCTGGTTCGTCCTACGTACTTCTGCTACTGCTACTGCTACTGCTACTGCTACTGCTACTGCTGCTAGTCTACTGTTCCTATGGCTAGCCCACAGGCTCTTGTGTTCGATGCTGAGGGCCGCCCAATGAAGTTTGACACCTGGCTCGATGACCTGCACCTCTACCTACAGCTCACAGCCAAGGATGACATCTCACTGTACGATCACGCCCTAGGCAATGTCACTGCCCCTGCTGCTACTGCTGACAGCACTGCTCGCTCACACTGGCAGACTCGTGATGCCCACGCTCGCTTCGCCATTCGCAACTCCCTGCCGATAGACGAACGCGAGCACTTTGGCCAGCACAAGACTGCACAGGCACTGTACACAGCTGTCGTTGCTCGCTACTCCTCACCTGCCTCTGCCGCACTAGGCCGTCTCTCCCTCCCCTACCTGTTTCCCGACCTGTCCTCCTTTCACACAGTCGCTGACCTCATCACGCACCTCCGCACTAGTGAGGCCCGCTTCCGTGCCGCCATGCCTGCTGAGTTCCTTGCCACGCACCCACCCCTCTCCACTCTGGCTCACTCTCTACCACCTAGTCACCCGCCTCCCTGACACACTGCGTGCTGTCAGGGACCACTTCCTAGCTTGTTGCCCCACTGAGCTCACCATTGCCCTCCTCGAGAAGGAGCTACTTGCAGCTGAGACTAGCATAGTCGCTGTAGGTGCCTCTCGTGGCGACCCCCGTACCCCGTTCTTTGAGGGGTGTTCTCCTTCCCCCCTTCTTCCCTCTGTCGCCTCTGCTGCTACTGTCGACCTTCTCGGTGCTGAGAAGGTCGGCGCTGCGTCCGCCTCGAGCAAGCGCCGCAGCGGCAAGGGCAAGGGGGGCAAGGGTGGTAGCAGTGACGGCGGGGGAGGCGGCGGTGGGGGCGGTGGAGGCAGTGGGGGTGGTGGCTCGGCTGGAGGGGCGGGTGGTAGCGGTGGGGGTGGTGGCGGCGGCGGCGGGGGAGGTGGCAGGAGTGGAGGCGGCGGTTGGGGTGGCGGTGGACGAGGCGGCGGCCGGGGTTGGGGTGGTCGAGGAGGTGGCAGCGGTGGTGGTGACCGTGGAGGCACTGGCGGTGGCCAGGGCCAGCAGCACACTCCCTCGCCCCAGGAGGTCCGTGAGTGGTACTCTCAGCACGGGGGTGGGGGTGGTCCTAGCTGCACGTACGTCATTCGCACTGGTGACCGCACTGGTCAGCAGTGTGGACGACCGCACGCCACACAGCGCTGCTTCTCTCGTCTCGACGACGCTTGGCGTGTTCGGTTCCCTCAGGCCACTGAGCTGCCCCACTGGTTTGATCTCCTGAAGAAGGGGATTGATATCTATGCTCTAGACTTTGATGCTATTCTATCTGCCATGTATGTGATGTCTACTAGTGGAGAGGGTGCCGAGTACTTGTGTGTGCCGCCCGACCCGGGCATTAGGGCCAGTGCGTCTGCAGCTCCAGGTACTCGCGTGTCGGCTACCCCAGGTGCTGGTGAGGTTTCTGCTCTAGGTGCTCGTGTGTCTCCCCCCCCTGGTACTGCGTCGACTGCCGCACTGCACACCTTCACACTGGACTCAGGTGCTTCTCGCTGCTTCTTTCGTGACCGCACTGCCCTTGAGCCGCTTGCTCGGCCAGTTGCTGTCTCGCTTGCTGACCCCTCTGGGGGTCCGGTCATTGCGACCTCTTCCACTGTCCTTCCCTGCCCTGCGGTCCCGTCGGGCACACTGTCAGGTCTCCACCTCCCCTCGTTCTCTACGAACTTGGTGGCAGGATGTGCTCTCCAGGACGGGGGTGTTCACCAGTTCACCCCTGCCTACGAGCGCGTGACCCACTGCACGTGTGCTCGTACGGGCCGTCACTTGGCTACCTTCACTCGGCAGCCGGGGTCGGACCTGTACACACTGACTACTGCCTCCCCTCATGTCGCTGCGTCTGCGTCTGCGTTTACGTCCGCAGCAGGTCAGCTGTCTGCCCCCTGCTCGTGTCGCTCTCAAGCACATGAGACTGTCCTCTGGCACCACCGACTTGGCCACCCTTCTGTGCAGCGCCTTCGTGCCATGCACTCCCGGTACCTTGTCTCTGGTCTTCCCAGGGTCCTCCCTCCCCTCCCACTTTCGCCTGCTCCTCCCTGCCTTCCCTGTGTCGAGGGCGGCAACGCGCCGCTCCTCACTCCTCCTCGTTTCCCCCGACGACTGCTCCTTTGTAGACGCTCCACATGGACGTGTGGGGCCCAGCCCGCGTCCGTGGTCAGGGTCAGGAGAGGTACTTCCTGATCGTTGTTGACGACTACTTGCGCTAGACCACGGTCTTCCCCTTGCGCACCAAGGGTGAGGTCCCTGATGTTTTGATCCCTTGGATCCGCAGAGCTCGTCTCCAGCTCAGCGAGCGTTTCCGCTCGGACTTTCCTGTCCTGCGCTTGCACTCTGACAGAGGTGGTGAGTTCTCCTCCGACCTCTTGGCAGCCTACTGTGCTGAGCACGGCATTGAGCAGTCGTTCACGCTTCCGGCCTCTCCACAGCAGAATGGGGTTGCGGAGCGCCGCATTGGCCTGGTCATGGAGGTCGCTCGTACCTCCTTGATCCATGCGGCTGCCCCCCACTTTCTGTGGCCGTTTGCGGTCCGGTACGCTGCGCATCAGCTCAACCTCTGGCCCCGTGTCTCCTTGCCGGAGACCTCGCCCACACTGCTGTGGACGGGGGAGGTTGGCGATGCGTCGCGTTTCCGGGTCTGGGGATCTCGAGCTTTTGTCCGCGATTCGTCTGCGGACAAGCTCTCCTCTCGTGCTGTTCCCTGCGTCTTCCTCGGCTTTGTTCCGGACGCGCCTGGTTGGCAGTTTTACCACGCCACCTCGCGCCGGGTCTTGCCCTCTCAGGACGTCACTTTTGACGAGTCTGTCCCCTACTACCGCCTCTTCCCCTACCGCACTGCCCCGCTCCCACCCCCGCCTCTCTTCCTCGCGCCAGGTGCTGCTGTCGTAGACCCCCTCCCCCCTCAGGGTGCCGCTCCCTCAGGTGTGTCTCAGGTAGACCCGGTCGAGCCTGTTGAGGTTGCTGCTGACTCTCGTCCTGCTGGGGGTGCTGAGCCTGGGGGTGCTGAGCCTGGGGGTGTGGAGCCTGGGGGTGTGGAGCCTGGGGGTGTGGAGCCTGGGGGTGCTGAGCCTGGGGGTGTAGAGCGTGGGGGTGTGGAGCCTGGGGGTGTGGAGCCTCGTGGTGCTGAGCCGCAGAGTCCAGAGTCTGGGGGTTCTGGGCCTGGAGGTACTGGCCCGGTGAGTCCTAAACCTGGAGGAGCCCTCTCCTCGGAGCAGCTGCGTACGTGGTACTTAGAGTACTGCAGCCTCCGGAGAGGTTCCACTCGTACCGGACGTGCTGCTGGGATTGGTACTAGTGCTTCTTCTCCCGTTAGGGAGCTCCCCTCCCGCGAGCGGATCCGTGAGTGGTACGAGCGACGCTGCACTCTTCGGAGTGGCGTACCTCGTGTTGTGGACCCCACTGGCGCTGGAGCTGCTGTTGGTGCTGAGGACCCGGGCGTTGGAGCTGCTGCTGGTGCTGCGGACCAAGGAGTTGGAGCTGTTGCTGGTGCTACGGACCCGGGCGTTGGAGCTGCTGCTGGTACTGCAGACCCCGGCGTTGGAGCTGCTGCTGGTGCTGACAGCCTTGGCGTTGGAGCTGTTGCTGGTGCTGAGGACCCGGGCGTTGGAGCTGCCGCTGGTGCTGCGGACCCGGGCGTTGGAGCTGCTGCTGGTGCTGCAGACCCGGGCGTTGGAGCTGCTGCTGGTGCTGATAGCCTGGACGTTGGAGCTGTTGCTGGTGCTGAGGACCCGGGCGTTGGAGCTACCGCTGGTGCTGAGGACACGGGTGGTGGAGCTGGCCGCTGCTGCTGCGGACCCTGGGGCGAGTGTTCCTGCTGACTCTGGTGTCGCTGCTCGGTCCCGGCCGTACTTCGTTCCGCTCCTGCAGCAGGTTCTTGGTCAGCTCCCTCCTCCTTGTCCTCCTCTCTCCTTAGCGTGTCCTCCGTCTGTCCAGCTGCAGTCGCAGCTACCGTCTGCCTCCCCTCTCCCTGGTCCTGCTCCTTACACCGGTCCGACTGGAGGTCTTACTGAGCGTCGTGAGCCTGAGTCTCGCCCTGCGTCACCTGTCCGCACTGCTCTCTCTAGCATTCGTGTCCAGCGTCAGAGTCTTCCTGTTGTCCCAGGCACTCACCGGATGGCGCTTCGTCCGTCCACTGCTCCACAGCGTGTCCCACTGCCGTCTCCTCCTACTTCTTCTCTTCTCGCTCTTGCTGACCCTGAGTCAGACTCTCTTTGTACTGCTAGTCCTACTGTCACGCGTCTCCTGGCTACTGTTGTCACTGACCCTTCCTTTGAGTCTGCTGCTGCGTCCGCCTTAGTTGCTCAGCTTGTCGACTTTGCTGCTCGCTGTCATCTAGACTACGCTGCTAGCCTAGTTGCTGAGTCTGAGTCTGTCTGTCTTCCGTCCGTCGGGGGTGAGTGTGCTCTTGGCACTGACGTCCTTGAGGACAGGCAGGAGGAGTTTGAGTGCTTTGCTGCCGCTTTGCCCCATCTCGTGTCCATGCTTGTTGCCCCTGAGGGAGACCCGGATGCACCAGACATCCCGACCCCACGCTCTTACGCAGAGGCGATGGCCGGTCCCTACTCCTCTCAGTGGCAGTCAGCCATGGACACAGAGATGGCTTCCTGGAAGTCCACTGGCACCTACGTCGACGAGGTTCCCCCACCTGGGGCGAACATCGTCAGTGGCATGTGGATTTTCAGGGTGAAGCGGCCGCCGGGCTCTCCGCCTGTCTTCAAGGCGCGTTACGTTGCACGAGGCTTCAGTCAGCGAGAGGGAGTTGACTTCTTCCAGACCTTCTCCCCAACCCCGAAGATGACCACTCTTCGGGTTCTGCTGCACGTCGCCGCTCAGCGTGACTACGAGCTCCACTCGCTTGACTTCAGCACTGCTTTCCTGCAGGGCAGCCTGCACGAGGAGATCTGGCTGCGCCGTCCACCTGGCTTCACTGGGTCGTTCCCTCCTGGTACCCAGTGGAGCCTCCGACGGCCAGTCTACGGTCTCCGCCAAGCGCCTCGTGAGTGGCACGACACACTGAGGACTACGCTTGCGGCTCTTGGGTTCGCGCCTTCTACTGCTGACCCGTCGCTGTTTCTACGCACCGACACCTCACTACCGCCGTTCTACGTCCTTGTGTACGTCGACGACTTGGTCTTTGCTACTGCTGACACTGTGGCACTCGCCCACGTGAAGTCGGAGCTGCAGAAGAGACACACGTGCACAGACCTGGGTGAACTGACAAGCTATCTTGGCTTGCGGATCACCCGGGACAGAGCACGCCGCACCATCACCTTGACTCAGTCACACATGGTGCAGCAGGTCCTTCAGCGCTTCCGCTTCACGTACTCCTCGCCTCAGCCCACTCCTCTGCCTACCGGTCACTCGCTCTCAGCTCTGCCTTCGGATGAGTCCGTAGAGCCGAGTGGCCCGTATCCAGAGCTTGTGGGTTGCCTCATGTACCTGATGACCTGCACTCGACCAGACCTTGCATACCCTCTCAGCATTCTTGCACGCTATGTCGCTCCCGGCCGTCACCGGAAAGAGCACATGGATGCAGCTAAGAGGGTGTTGCGCTACTTGTGCAGTACGTCGGGCATGGGGCTAGTGCTTGGAGGGCGATTCCCAGTTGTTCTCACTGGGCACTCAGACGCTTCTTGGGCAGACGACCAGGCTACTCAGCGGTCGTCTCAGGGTTACTCCTTCAGTCTTGGCTCTGGTTCTATTTCTTGGCGTTCTACTCGCTCTTCCTCTATTCTCAGCTCCAGTTGTGAGGCTGAGATCTACGCCACAGCCATGGCGGCTCAGGAGCTACGCTGGCTCACCTACTTGCTGACCGACCTTGGAGAGCAGCCTCGTTCTCCTCCAGTGCTGTACGTCGACAACAAGGCAGCCATTGCCTTGTGTGAGGAGCACAGACTGGAGCACAGAACGAACCACATTGCTCTGCGTTACTTCCTTGCCCGAGAGCTGCAGCAGCGTGGTCAGCTTCGCCTGCGTTACGTGGCCTCTGAGGCCAACACTGCTGATGTGTTCACCAAGGCGCTTCAGCCTTGTGACCATCAGCGCTTTTGCACTCTTCTAGGCCTTGTGCCTACTTGACCTCACTTGCTTACTTCTTGAGTCTGTTTGTACTGTGATCTCTATATATATACCTGCATGTTTACTCTTGTTAGGTTGTGATCATTGTACCTTTTGCTCTATTATAAACCTGCATGTGAACTGGTCTTGTGACCACTTGCTTGTGCTCAGAATTTGTGTGGTATCCTTGAGATCCACCCTGAGCTTGTCTTGCCTTGCTTTGCATTGACTGGTCTTGTGACCCCTAGATCTCCCCCACTTTGCCTATGGGGGTGTGTCAAACATTATATATGTTGTGTTAGTTTAGGCTACAGTGGGTTAGCCTATAGGGGGTACACAATTCTAGGGTTAGTTTTGACCTATTTGTACCCAACTGCCATTCCTGTTTCGTACTTCTGACAACCTGCTGCTCCGACAGCCGCCGAGGTGGAAGCTAGTGATGATGATGATCATTCTACCTGTAGTAAGCAGAGTTTGGACGGGGAGCTCTTTGACACTCTCACCGCAATATGTCTTTTCATTAGGGACGCGGACTTGTCGCGGCGCGAGGTCAACCGATTGCTGCATATCTTCATAAATCCGCGCTTCAACCTGCGTGCATTGCGGCGCTGGCGCAATGGGCTGGACGTGAGGCGATGGGGGGAAGCTAGGGCGCCTCCAGACATGGTACCGTGGCTGTGCGAGGAGATAGTGGTCAGAGGGCCTCGCGGTCAAACTCAAAAGCTCCCCCTGCATTATCGGGACACAGAGGAGGTACGTGCAAGATGTTAAGAGCGTACGTTGCGTCCTGAGGGGGTGCACCATACTGATGTTATTGGTACACGCAATCACATCAATCTTTGATTCCTACACAGCTCGTGAAGAAGCTCGTGCGCATCTTTGGCGGTGTCAAGGGGTTCGTTACAAAGCCACGGATTGTTGTTGACCCCAACACAAACGAGCGGATTTACTCCGACCCAGAGACGGCGAAATCACTTGAAGAAGCTCAGGTATGCAATGATTCTCCAGAGGACATGCCCCGCTGCGCTGAAGTTTTGGCAGACGTACTCAAGAGCACGCGTTTGTGTGTGGCAGAAGGAGGTGAAAGACCCATCAGCCTGGGTGATTGGCATCATTGTCTACAGCGACGGCACCAACGCAACATGCAATGGGCGCAGGCAGGCGTGGCCCGTCCTCAAAACGCTGGTCAACATACCTGAGGAGTTGCGCAAGACGGAACCTGGCCATGTTCTGGCTGCTGTGCTGCCGTTCCCCCCCGAGTGGGCAACTTCTTCCGAGAAAGCAAGAGTGTTTCAGGAGGCAATTCGGATCATTCTCGGGCCCCTCATGCGAGAGTCTTCAAGGTATGCACCCACTCCGGATTTTGCTGCATGTGCTGCGCATCGTAGTTCCGCCGCCAGCCTTTCGGTCAAACAATGTCCTGTCCACCTGTTTCCTTCTTTTACATCCCTCTCGGCCCAGCGCTCCATTAAGGGTGTTCTATGTCACCGATCCACAAGGGGAGCCTGTGAAGGCCATCCCATGCTTCTTTGGTTACCCTGGCGACTTCATCGAACAGTGCCGCGTCATCGCGACGATGCAAACAGGCACCAAGAGGCCCTGTTGCACATGCTACGTATCGGAAGAACTCCTTGGAGACTTGGAGCATAAGGCCACGCTGAGGACTGTAGACTCCAAGATGCATGTGCTGCGCAACATGCTTGCGTGCAAGACTGTGAAAGATGCTGAAGCGATTCAGACCGAGTGGTCAACCCATCCAGCGGAGGTATGTGTGTGCAGTACGCTTTGATGGTGGCGATCTAATCATAAGCCCGCCATCGTACCGTATGACGTCAGACCCTCTCATCCTCCTTGCACCCCCTTGTAGTGCGTGTTATCGCGGTGGAATTTCTCGGACACTGAGTGGGGCAACCCATTTGGTGCAACTGTCGCGGACATCATGCATGTGCTGGACTCTGGGACGGCACTGCACTTGCTGGAGAACCACATCGCTGTGCTTTCCAAGCCGGAGAGGCGAGAAGTCGAGAGGTTAGTCGTATTGTAAACCCGGCATATGGGCGGAACATGGAGCAGAATGAGGTGCGCACGATGTGAAGTGAATGCATTTGTTGATGGAGACAGGGAGGTCCAATGTTAAACCCTGCGAGCACCCCTTCCTGGGCCCTGAACCCCTCCAGGCGCAAGAAGACAACCAAAGGAGAGACACCAAGTGTTCTATTGCGTCTACCCGGAGGCAGTTCCTACTTCATGAGTGGGGCCAACTATGCAGCCTTCGAACACCGCAGCATGATGTAAGTGATGCCAATTCTGGTGGCCGACAAGTCTGCGCTGCAAGTAGGAAAGATGGGAGAACTGGCCGCGCTCCGCGTGCACGCGTTCAGGATGTACGCAACGTTCTACAAGGCATTTCTGGGTGTCAGCGGACACACGGACTCCTCTCTCGCCATCGCCCGTGGACATGCCATCAAGTATGTAGACTGGACTACGTAGGTATAGAGAACGTTGCATGCCAATGTTGGCCGCACTGTTGGGTGGTTGCTGTCACTGACCGTTACTTGATTTGCGTATCTGTTTCTCTGACGGGACGTGTTCTGCTCCACAGGCTTGTCGAGATTTTGCCGCAGGCGTATCCGGATCATGCATCGCATTGGCGCTTTCCAAAGATTCACATGATTGTCCACCTGCTGGACAATGTGATCATGCGCGGAATGCCGCACCACTACAGCACGGAGATGTGGGAGCATACCCACAAGGGGACGGTCAAGATCCCGGTCAGGGGCAGCAACTGGAAGGACATCCCCCGGCGCATTGTGGAGGAGGAGGTGCAGAGAGAGACTTGCAGGGAGGTGGCACAGGACGCGGGTGGCGGGCGTCAGTATGCGACGGCGCTGCGCGAGGTGAGACTGTGCGTAGCATATCCCATCGCTGACCGTATGATCGTGGGACACGTCATTACCGCGTGACTTGTTTCCGGACACTGTCGCGACATACCCATTTCCGGCCACACCCGCAGGCTGTTGAGACGATGAAGCCCGTGCTCACGAGGAAGGGACGCGCGATGCGGCCGGCGGAGGAGGGAGATGCGGTGATGGGTACCTACCGCACGGTACTTGGCGACCTCATGGATGCGCTACCAGGCAGCATGGTGGCTGCTAAGATCACCGCATCTGGGGTCGTGGTGCGTACACATGTGCAAGTGTATCCTCCACCCTGGTTGCTATTAGGGAGTGCTTATGCTCCGTATGCGTGCGTTTCGAGTATACAGCCGAACTTGCTCCTTATCCCTATGCCCCACTCATGCAGGCCCACACCGCGATGGCGATTCCGCGCACCAAAGGTGGAGCACTGGTCTCCAAGGGCGCGTTCAACAAGGCAAGCCCCAAGGGGAAGTGGTTCACTGACTTTGCAGTGAAGTCAGGCAAGAAGGAGGAGTGGTATGCGAAGGCGCTGTGTATTTTCAAGGTGGCGACGGCAGAGGGCGACCGGAAGGGGTTTGTGTACGTGCGGTGGTATGAGAGGGCAGGCATCTGCCCCCTGACCACCTGCGTGCAGTTGACACCGTCACGCAAGGACACAAGGCACGCAGTGATTGAGGTGGAGAGCATTCTGCGAGTTGCGCACATTTGCCGCTCTTTCAGCAACCTTGCTGTGTTGGTGCTGAACAAATTTCTGCTGTGTGAGTGATTTCGGGGTGGGGGTGTGAGGAGGCGTTTGAGGGTTGTGGTGTGGATCTGCTGGTGCTATTCTCACAGCTGGCTGCTCAAACTGTAGACTTACATGCCACACACGCGTGATGATGGAATGGTTGTCACTTGGGCAATCTAGAGACCGACACAGTGTGCTGTATGATAGCAACTGTTGTGCCGTGGTGTCTACATGCTTCTGCAAACTTTGTAGTTGCACTCTAGTTGCAGGCGAATGGTGAGTGTACTTATCTTATGCGTCACGATGGGGTATGCTGTATTGCGAACGCATCCATGCGCACTGAGTGAAATTGCAAACCCCCCTGGGGGGTTCGGTTTGGTGTTGCAAGGTACAGGTACGTGGCAGGATAGCGATCCGGCGAGGGACGGAGGCACGGTTTGGGCGTGGGTGTAATCCGAAAGACGCACAACCATTGGTGCGCAGTTTCGTACCATTGGTGGATACTATTGGGGGGTGTTCCATGTGCGATCGCTTTGTGAGTACAGGTTTCCAATGTTGTGATGATGTGGCACAAGTGTGGCCTTAGTTCTCAACACAGCAAATACCTCAAAGCTCAAAGACATTTTTGTATTTGCGGGTGTGTGCCATACCAAGCGTTGCTGCATACTTCTTCGACGAAATGGCGTCCCTGGTATCCCTCCTTGAGGCGCTGAAGGCACCGCCCGAAAAGGTGTTCACATTCACGGAGTTTCCGTTAATCCCCGCACGGGTGCCGTTAGGAACGTCTCTGGACGAGCGTGAGCAGCTGTCGCGGAAATGGCACTTGCCCGTTTGCTTTTTGTACAACCCGACTGGATGTGTCCGCAAACCGCCGCTCGTTGTTCTACGACGAGACGACAAGAGGCCAGTACATGACGGGCGCAATAAGAATCATGACGTGAAAGTGCGCTACGCCAAGAATGGGCGGTTTTCTAGCGAGGTGAGCGGGTACAAAGGTGGGGTTTGTAGGTTGATAGTCGTTGTGTATGAGTTGCAATTTGGGTGGCCATTGTTCCGGACTCATGTCATCACCACGGACATCTGCTGTGTTGTGTGCGCAGTTGTTCACTGAGGTCGTCGACGAGTTCAACGGCGAATTGCACGCGAAGAGCGAAAAGGCGGTGGTGCTGGTGCACAACCCTGCGCACACCCTCATCGGGTGTGTGAAACGGACCAGCACAGTGGAGGGGTTTGTAGTGGAGGAGTTGATATGGGTGAAGGTTGTTCAGACATTTGGCGTGATGCCGGCTGCTGCGTTCTCGGCCATAAATGGTGTTGTGGACACATTGAAGGTAGTTTTCCGGACGTGGTTCGTGCGATCGGCGGTCACGAGCACGGAGTGGACCCGTGCGGGCGTTTTTCCTCGGCCGCCACTGCACGATGTCCTGTACAAGCTGTTCATGGCGGGCAAGTTGACAATGCCTGGGACAATCCATAGGAGTTGGTGGCGGGCCGGTAGCGTGCCGAAGGGCTGGCTGTCGCGGATGGACAGCTTGAAAGGGAAAGTTGCGGCTGGGATGTTTGACAGTCTGGTGCTGCAGTTGACGAGTCTGCAGCTGGTCATTGAAGAGTTCAAAAGCAAGTGCAGCAGCACGGCGTTTATGACGGCGTGGGATTTTGTGGGGTGCGACGAAAACCTCATTGAGAAGTGGTCGCCAGCGAGGGGCGAGGATGACGAGTCTGGGGATGAGATTCCGGCATACTTCTGCATTCCGGAGGGGCCGCTAATGCGAGACAGCCGTAGCTGTCGCTGCGTGAGCCGCATGGTCCACGATGGTTTCGTGAAGCATGCGGAGGCATTGGGTATTCCGCCACGCGACATGCTTGAGGAGGCCGGAGTGGTGAATGAGGAGGTGGTGAGCCGCCTTTGACGCACGCCCACTAAGCGCAACCGGACGGGCTGCTCTAGAGATGAGGGGATTACGTCTGATGCCTCGGACGAGACAGGCCAAGCCCAGAAGGCGGGGGTGCTGTTCCCAGTGGAGGATGACAAAGAGAGCGTCCTACGCTTGGTCTAGGGCTATAGGGTGGGTTTGCTTTAGCATTGTGGTATGGGGGGGATGAACATAGGGAGCACTAGGCCACGGTGTCATCTCATATTTCAGGTATTGTGTGTGTACGGATTGCATGAGTTGTGACTTGGGGAAAAAAATTTCCATCTGTTGTGGGTGCTACTCAATCAGGCCATACATGTGTTTTACATGCGTTGCTTTGCCGGTTTGCGTCGCGTAGTTTCGAGATAGGCTCTCAACCCTACAAGGATCGTAAAAGCGGCAGTGTACAAGGTTTTCATGCTACACACAATCGAGTGTTCTTTGTATGCGATGCCAAGGTGTGCTTTTTCGTCGAACCGCGTCCGCCAATGTGCGAGATTTCCCGAGCCGCTGTGGAAATTGGGCATTCCAAAGCGCATACCGATTGGCATCTGGCTGCCTTACTCAGTGTGCGGGACTTAGTGGCAAATTCGGAAAGCTGCAATTTCGGGTTGTTGTTTTGTGGACACTTTTTCTGCAACTTTTTTGCAATTTTCCTGCAACTCTGGGACTTGAACTCGAAAATTGGCCAAACCCTTTTCCGCGATGGTTCACCCTGCGTACCGGTGTGAGCTCGCATCAGTTGCTCTTCCTCCATCGTACCGTCACGGTTCAATAGCAGTGTCGGTTCCACAGGTGAAAATGAGCAGATCTCAGTCGCAGCCATCCCTCGGCTTGACGTCGCAGCCACACCTTATGTTAATACTAGCGATTGAAACGTTGCTGGTAGGGAAGTAGCAGCCTTAGTAGGCTAGGAGAACGGGGATGAAGTGCTCTCTGGAATTCTCTGGAAATTTCACTATGACTTCACAAATTTGACAGTACAATTTTATAGAGCACGTTCAAACATCGAGTCGCACTCCCAAGTCGCGACTCTCTCTCTGAATTTCTCAATGGTAACCCAACCCTTTGAAATGAACCTGCCATGAAATTCAGAGAACTATTGCGGTACGGGATTGGACGGCGAGCTTGGTTACGGGGCTGTAATTTCGTCGGTGTTGTTGGCAAAGTCGACGAGCGGTCGGAACTTCGGAGTCCTGCGTTTCGTACTTTTCGTGCGTGGGATTGACTTGGGCTGCGTGTTGGAATCTGGTCGCCCAGCTGCATGATGGGGCGCTTGACCAATCCGAACTGTAGGTGAGGTGGTGCTTGACTTCCGCCCACCTGCACTGTTCTTGGAGTTGAGTTGCTGCACTGTTACGATTGACTTCCGCCCACCTGCATTGCAGTTGGCAGCATTTGGCTGCTGCACTGTTACATTACTTCCCCCTCCAAGTGGCATCGTCCACGGCGCCAAACCATGGCTGGTGGCTCTCGGGTTCCCATGAGTCCTCACTAGCAGACTGATCCTTCCAATGAACAAGAAACTCACGACCATGAGGTGTGTCGCGGTGAGCAGTGATAGATGCAACCTCAAACAGGCCGGGGCAGCCTTCGAACATCGGTGGCAGTTGGCGTGTGGCTGGACGGTCGTGTGAAGGTGCACGGAAAGGGCGGAGGCGCTGGACATGGAAGACGGGGTGAATCTTTATATAGCTGGGCAGTTGGAGGCGGTAGTTGACCGGGGAGAGGACTCGGGTGACGGTGAATGGGCCAATGAAGCGAGGGGCAAGTTTTCTGGTTGTGCCTTTGCGAAGGAGGGGTAGGTGGTCAGTGGAGAGTAACACTTGATCGCCAACCTTGGAGCGGATATCTTTGCGGTGGGAGCTGACATAGTGGGTCTGTTTGGCTTGTGCTTTAAGGATGGAGGTGCGAGCGGCATCAATGGCTGATTCGAGTGAGGTGAGGAACTCAAAGGCTGCTGGTGCGTGGGAGAGGTGGGAGGGTGGGGTCGTTGGGAGGCGTGGGTGCTGTCCGGTTGCGAGGTAGAAGGGTGGCTGGCCGGTGGAAAGATGGGGTGTGCTGTTGTATGCGAGTTCGATGGCGGTGAGGTGGAGGTCCCAATCAGTTTGGCGAGCAGTAACTTGTGCACGGAGGGCGTCTTCTAGCGTGCGGTTCATCCGTTCAGTTTGTCCGTCCGTTTCAGGGTGATACGCGGTAGAAAACTTCAGCCGGGTTCCGTGAAGCTTGAAGAGGCTTTGCCAAAAGTTGCTCAAGAAGCGGGGGTCACGGTCGGAAATGATGGCAGATGGGAGACCGTGCAGGCGGACTATGTGATCGAAGAAGAGTCGGGATGTTTCAGGTGCGGTGACAGTTGTGTGGGTTCGGATGAAGTGAGTCATTTTGGAGAGTCGGTCGACGACGACTAGGATGGCGTTGTAGCTGCGGGGTGTTCGGGGCAGGTCCATGATGAAGTCCATGGTGACTTCATCCCACACTTTGGTAGGTGGAGGGATGGGTTGAAGGAGTCCGTAGCGGTTGGTGGTGCGTGCTTTGAGTTGTTGGCAGGTTCGGCAGGTGCGTATGAATTCACGCACATCGGCATGCATGTGTGGCCAATGGTAGTCGTTGGAGAGGCGTGCGTATGTCTTCTCAACACCAAAGTGGCTGCCAGTAACGGTGTCGTGGTATTCGGAGAGTAGCAGCTGCCGTAAGGAGCGATCCGCAGGGACACAAATGGTCTTAGTGACGGTGTTGTACCAAAATGGGTCTTCAAACGAGTAGGACGGGTCCGCCGGGGCTTGCTTGAGGAAAAACAGGTCACGTTTGTAGGCGCGCTGAAACTTTGTGATGAATGCATCATCCCAAGTGATGCTGCTGGTTCCATGGAGTTGCAAGGGTGGGTTTGGAGTGTGAGGTGAAGGGGATGAGGTGGGGCTGGTGGGGGAGTGGTGGGGCTGGTTGGTGGTTGGTTGGGGCTGGTTGGTGGTTGGTTGGGGCTGGTCGGTGGGTGGTGGGGCTGGTGGTGGTGGTCGGGACAAGATGTCGGCTGGATTGAGCTTTCCGGGGCGGTAGATGATCTGAAGTGATGGGACAAACTGCTCCAAGAACTCAGCCCATCGGGCTTGGCGGCGGCTGAGCACGGGCTGTGTTTTCAGGTGTTGAAGAGGGCGGTGGTCGGTGTAGACGGTGACGGGCTGCAGCTCCACATAGCAGCGCCATGTCTTGATTGTGTGGACAATGGCAAGGAGCTCCCGGTCATGTGTTGCATAGTTGCTCTCTGTCGGTTGAAGCTTACGTGACTCAAATGCAAGTGGTTGCATCCCATGGCCGTGGTCTTGGCAAAGAATAGCACCAATAGCGACATCGGAAGCATCGGTCCATATGAAGTATGGGCGCGATGGGTCAGCGACGGTGAGGACCGGTGCCGAGGTGAGTGCTGATTTGATTGAGTTGAAAGCGGTCTGCTGCGGTAGTCCCCATTGAAAGGCAGCTCCTTGACGAAAGAGGTCAGTCAACGGGGCGCAGATGTGAGAGAAGTTGAAGATGAATTTCCGGTAGTACTTGGCGAGGCCGATGAAACTTTGCAGCTCCGCTACCGTGCGTGGTGCTGGCCAATCAGCAAGGCACTGGACCTTTGCAGGGTCCATAGCAATGCCTTTGGAGCTGATGACATGGCCGAGAAAGCTGATGCTTGAACAGGCGAAGGTGCACTTGGAGAGCTTGGCGTAGAGGCGGTGTTGGCGGAGAGTGTCGAGGACGATGCGTAGGTGCTGAGCATGTTCTTCAAGTAACTTGCTGAAGATGAGGATGTCATCGAGGAACACGATGACAAAGCGGTCGAGGAAGGGCCAGAAAATATCATTCATGAGTCCCATGAACGTGGCAGGTGCGTTGGTGAGGCCGAACGGAAGTACTCGGAACTCGAAGTGGCCGTAGCGGATGCGAAACGCCGTCTTGTTGACGTCGTCTTCGGCGAGGCGAATCTGATGGTAACCGGAGCGTAGGTCGAGCTTGCTGAAAACCGTTGCTTCCCCAAGCATGTCGAACAACTCCTTGACACGGGGCAGCGGGTACTTATTCTTGATAGTGATGGCGTTGAGGGCGCGGTAGTCGATGCAGAGGCGCAAGTCACCTTCCTTCTTGCGAGTGAAAAGCACGGGGGCAGCGTATGGTGAGGTGCTGGGGGGGATGAAACCCTTCGCAAGAAGGTCATCGAGTTGTCGTCGAAGCTCTAAAAGCTCAGCAGTGCTCATGCGATAGGTTGGGCGCACGGGCGGTGTAGAACCTGGAATGAGGCGGATGCTATGGTCAATAGCACGCTCGGGTGGAAGTTCGGAGGGTAGATCATCAGGAAACACGTCCGTATAACCGTTGAGCAGATTCTGTATGGTTGAAGGCAGAGGAGTAGCTCATGCGTCAGATTCGGGAGCCGTGAAGATGACTAGGAGATGATGAGGAGGAGGTGGTGAAGGAGGGGTGGGGGTTGGTGGATTGATAACTTCAGAGGTGGGGCGGATGATGGGACGGCGTGGCTGCTGGGTTGGGTAGGGTGGAGAAGGAGGAGGTGTGTTGATCACTTCGGGAGAGCCGGGTGGTGTTGGCTGCTGCACGGGAGCTATGCGAGGAGGAGGGAGAGGGGGGATATGGGAATATGGGGATGGGGCAGGTTGGGGTGGGTGGGTTGACGAAGCGGAACTGGTTGGGGATGACTATGGTCGACGGAAGGAGTGGGATGGGAGGTCGTAGCTACCGACGGTGACAATTCCGTTGCGCCAATAAATCCGCGGTCCAAACTGGTGCAACCATGGTCGACCGATAACGCCTTCGTACCCCCCGAGGTGCAGTTGCTCGAACGTGACCGTCGCTGTTATAGTCACAGTAGGCTCCAATGTGCCTAAAACGAAAGATAGAGTGCACAGTCGGATTTCTGCACAGCGGCTTCAAACGTTCATAGCTTTCTGGTCACAGCTTTAAATGACTTGATTCAACTTGGATCTGGAGCGTCTTATTGTCCC